GTTCTTCAGTTTGGACAGCAGCTTCTGAGTGGACTGCAGGTCTCCGCTCTTCACCGCCTGCAGCAGGTCCTGCTCCTTCCCCATGCTCCTTTCCTTACTCGCGTTTCAACCAGCTTTTATTCCAAAAATCTCCCGCTGCAGCCTCCTCAGTCAGAGCCCCCTCATGCTGAGCGCCGGAGACATGGACCCCCACCCGTGTCCCAGGTGAGACTCCCCCTCTGACGCCCTGCTAACAGCCAGGAAACAGCCGCACACCCTGTGATGTTTCCTCCGAGGCTGCAGAGATGGAAAAAAAAACTGCTCCGCCGCTTAATTTCCTGCTCAGACTTTATTTAAGGAGAGATGATATTTCCAGGGTCAGGACGCTGATGGAGCTACTGTTTGAGGACGAGGAGGAGGGGGAGGTGACTGAAAAGAAACGAGAAAACCAGATCAGTTCGATGAGAGAACAGCAACTCTCCAGTGTGTGCTCAGAGGAAACTGAAGGTGTCGGGTCAGAAAAAGGAGGAGAGGCTGAGAGTGTCGGATAACTTCCAGTCGAAACAAAAACAGGACGACGTGAAACCAAAACATGCACGAACGGTCCGAGTTCAATCTCATTTAATGAGCCACTAAATCCACTTTGTATCCACTAATCGGATCCTTATCCTTTAAATTCCTAAACGAATCCAATTAAAAGTTAAGACGGTTAAAAGAGGGAAGCTTTTTGAACATATTTTAGGCTCTAAATGACTCATAGATATGAAGATTTAAGAATTCAAATCAATTTCTTCAGGCAGCTACGAGATAAACTATAACGACTGCAATGTAATCGTTTGGCGTCAGTATATCAGTAAGTGTATTCGATGTACTCTTTGTGCCACTGATGAGCTTAGAAATGTTTTCTAATTGTCTGAGAGCATTACACAAAGGATTCCTACAGAGATAGGCGATCATGTCGAAGAATAAGATGCTTTCTTTAAAACCAGAAACAGCTGTTACATCGCTCGCTTTAAACCCACCAGACCCCATTGACAAAAACAGTGATTTAACCATCAGTCTGTTTCACCAGCAGCTCCTGTGTTCAAACTTCTACTTCTCTTTGCTTTAACTTCTGATTTAAATTGTGTTTGTAGTTAACCTTAAGTTTCACCAGAAACCTCACACACTTTCCTATCTCTCTCTCCTCGTTTCAGATTCTCCTGCTGACATCTGGAGTTACCCAACATCCTCCTTGATGCATGTCTTCATGTATGTTTTACATTTTACATGTATGTGTCGTATTCTGTGAGTCTCTGTCGGTCTGCACATGACGTCTATGTCCTGCCTGTCAGACGGATCTATCCACTGCTGAGGGTCTACCTGAGGTCCCCGACTTACCGCTCCTTTATTTCCCTTATTTAAAAAAAGGATTTTGTCATTATTTCTTTCCTTTTCCAGATTGATTATAAAAAGGACAATTTTGTGATTTTGGGGGACACAAATGAAGATTGACGTTTTTAAGATTTATTTTGAGGCTTTTTTGTGCCTTTATTAGAGAGATGGGACAGTGGATAGAGTCAGAAATCAGGGAGAAAGAGAGTAGGGAATGACATGTGGGGAAAGGAGCCACAGGTCGGAATCAAACCTGGGCCGCCCGCTTGGAGAACTACAGCCTCCATACATGGGGGGCGCGCTCAAACCACTGCGCCACCAACGCCCCGACCCGGCCTACACTATGTCTGCCAACAATCCAACATGAAACCGTTGCTGGTTGGATTAACGTCCCTGTGTGTTTTATTCCGTCTGATGTGACAGCTTCAAAAACAAACAGCACCGTGTGAACGGAGGTTTGCACACACCTGTTACCTCTCACAGGTGAGGTGAGGGCAGGGCGACCACAGACACCGTGTGCAAACCTGCTGTGAGCTCAGAGGTCGCTTTAATTACAGCTCACTAACCCGTCAAACACAAACAGCTCATGAGGGATCCACTTGCGGGTTTCCACTGCTGTGTAAACACTCACAGCAGTGGGCACCATGTGAGCAGCAGGACTTTACACCAAATTTCAATGATTTGTTCCCTTTTTTTTTTTTTGATTCAAAGCAGAATAAAATAATCGCCACGTTCAGTCTCAGCCCTGTGAGGCCTTAAATGGACTGGTCTGGCTCGGCTGCTCCCCTCAGGGCTCTGGGATAGAGAGTCTTTGGCCGGGCATCGACTTTAAATTGCAACTTGAGAGCGGCTACTTAAACTCTTCCAGCCCAGTGGCCATGCAGGGTCAGCTCGCAGATAAACGGAGGGAGAAGTTAAGTCCCGTCTCTGCTCCAGTGTCCTGCAGATAACAGGACAGAGGAGACCCCTCTGCATGGAGACCTGTTACAGCTGCAGCACCTGGCCTTGAAAAGAGAAAAGAGAAAAGAGGGGGTTTTGCAGAGAGTCCAGATAGAGAGGTCTGCACTGCTTTTCCTGCTTGGAGCATTACATAAGCATGCAGCCAAGAGAGGAGCACACAGGGCCTAAGCAGAGCTGTCAGTCCCATTTACACCGATCACGTCTCCCTCTTTTCCTCCACCTCCCTCGGGGCGTTTTGTATCCTCACTGCATTCACGACAAGAGGAACAATAACTCTTACATTTTCACTCTGACACAGCAGGGGACTCCGAGGCTCTGTGAAGTGGTCCCAAGTGAACATGAATAAGTCAGTTTATGGCCCACAAACAAGAACCACTTGACAGTTATTGCTTTGAAGTAAAGTTAGGGATGGTGCATGATGAAGTGTTTTACCAGTCTTGCAAACACTGATTGTGAGGATGTTTTACCAGCCAGACTATAAAAGTCTGCAAAAAAGTTCTCGATCTGCTTCAAAAAGGTTCATTTTCTTTGATTTTTGGATCTTCTCAAGACGGACTCCGTTAAACAATTCGCTAATTATACTTCAATTTGCTCAGTTATCAAATATAACACATTCATAGAGTGAGATTTCATGCTTTCCATGAATTTCGAGGATTTTGTCTCCAATTCGGGAGTACTTACAGCATTTTAAAGTTCCTAATAAACCTGTCACACGGAAAGTCCTGAATTAAAAGACGCACACACGAAGGTAAGCGCAGCGTTAAACTAATTTTTACCAAGAAATTAACTAAAATATATGACCCCTTGTAGATATGAAAGTAAGCCGAATGGAAGATCTGGTTCTTAAGAGAGAGGAAAATACTTTTTATTATGAAATATTGCCATTTTTCTTGATACTCTGCTCATTATAAAAGAGGTGTTAAAGCGGTTCAGTGTGAGGCTCTCCCCGCACCGGAGAAAGTGGCAAATCGCGGCAGGAGTCTGGCATGTAAACACACCGTCACCTCCACCACCGTCGACCTTTGTACCGAAAGTAGTTAACACACTTGTTAAAACAGTTTTCAAAGATGTGTAAGTGTTGATATATAAAGATAATAACTTATAAGACTTACCTTATAAAGTCAAATATACCAGAAACTTCCCCAACCCCTGAATGTTAACGGACCACGGAGATAGTTTGTAGGAAACTCCGAGTATTCCTTGGATTGATATTCCGGAAAAGTCAAGGTCCTTTGAGTTGTTTTATTCCAAGAGAATTAGTTTCCAAATGTTGTACTTTGTAGTGTAATCCCCACGAAGAATCAGCGTTAAGATATATATTTATTTTGGGGGGGGGCTTTCGTACTTTTTAGTTTTAACTGAACGTCACTGGTTGAGGTTCCTTTCGGTTTTCCCTCCTCGCCCTGAATGCCTCATTCTCTCCGCTGGATTCTCCAGAATGTGGACGAGGGATCAAGTTACCACCGTTAAGACACAGAACTTCCGATTTATCCTTTCACAATAAAACCCCACAAAAACAATACAAATTAAAATGTTGGTTTTCTAAATTAAATTTATATTTTCTATCTGATTGCATGGATTTTGTGATAATGGCCATTTTTCTTTCGCTTAATGTAAAAAAAATAATTTTACATCTAAAATTGAATAGCTCTTAAACACAACGAAGGTTAAGATTTTTAAGTCTCCTATAGTTGTGCTTTTATTTAGAAAACCAACCCTTGCTCTTCCTGTTTTGTTCTTGGTCTCGTTCGGTGAATATTCTCGACTCTCCGAATGCCTTCAATCTCGATTTTAACTCCAAATCACAGCAAAAATCTCATTATTTATACATAAAAATAACGATTATATTAAAGATTATAATAAAATTATTTTGTTTTAGCTAATTCTGAGGCTACCATACTTTTACCTACAATCTTTAACCACTTTTATTTAGAACCATTACTACTTTTTTTTACTTAAAATTATAAATATATTCATTCATTAGCAAACATTTATTTGTTTAACGATGACTTAAGGGCTTCAAACAAACAATATAAATAGAGAAAATAAAGTTAACGTACAAAAACTACTTTTCCTTTACTTTATCAAACAAGAATTTATTCATAAATAAAATAGAAATATCTGCAGCTAAAAGTAGAACAATACACTGGAAGCAAAAGTGCAGTAAACACATTTTTAAACAAAATCACCAAAGCTGGAGATGATGATGATCCATCTTTTGACACTGAGGTGGGAAAACCTTTAATAAAAACACAAATATTAGGGTTTTTTTTTCACTTTCTCACTTTAAATTTACTTTTCACACCTCAAATAATCAAACATGGTGCTGCTTTAAAAACTTCACATCCTGTCTAATAAATAATAACCCATTAGTGATTAAAAATTAGGTATATGTGCTCAGCATCTAGTAGCCTAACTGTGAAAGCTTAACGTGAGTTACACTGTAATCAAACGAAACCTCTTGAAAAAAGGTAAGAGCGTAAAGTCTTTCAACAAGACATAAAATCAAATTACTCAATACAGTCAGGCGAACTTGCTAAATTTGAAAGGGTTTGCTGCCACCTGCAGGCCGAGCTTTGTATTACAGGGCTAAAAGAAAATGGGAAAACATTCATCTTTGCCAACACACGAATGAGCTCGTTAAAGAAACATTTATTAATCAACTGATTAAAAATGAACGTACACCCTCAATATGCAGTTTTTTTTATTTTACAAAATGTCAAAAGTACATTTAAATCCAATTATCACACACAAGACTCAAGACTGCAGGAAAGATAGAGAAAAAACACAGAAACAAAGTCTAACCCACCTTGTTACCTATTCATATTTATAATATATCAAATGTATGAAAGAAGATTAGAAAACATTGAAAAAATATAATGTTATATCAGATCTTTAACTCAGATGACTAAAGGTCATAGTTCTGTCCAGTCATCCCTGTGGTGAGACACTGGTTCCTTCATGTCATTTCCTCATCTCTCTCCCCGATCCCTGACTCTGTCCACAATAAAGGCATAAAAAGCACCAAAATAAATCTTTAAAAAAAAGCAAAGTACAAATTATTCTCTTGAATTTATGACTTTAATCGTAAGAACTATACATTTTTAAACCAACAATCATTAAAGAGTTTAAGATGAAAATCCAACACTGTTGATAAAATCAGTCGCAGATTTTCATTCATTCAGTGTCTAGGCTGCAGTGGTTAGCGCTGTCGCCTCACAGCCAGAAGGTTCCTGGTCCGAATCCCTCGTCAGGATCAGACAGAAGCCTCACTGTGTGGAGTTTGCATGTTCTCCCCGTGCATGTGTGGGTTCTCTCCAGGTACTCCAGCTTCCTCCTACAGTCCAAAGACATGCTTGTAGAGTCGTTAGGCTAAGGAGTGAGAGTGGCTGGTTGTCTGTCTCTATATGTCAGCCCTGTGATTGACTGTCCAGTCCAGGGTGTAACCCCCGCCTCTCGCCCAATGACAGCTGGGATCAGTTCCAGCGACCTCAAACATGAAGAGTAATATAGTTAATGGATGAACGAACGGTGTTAAACATCTCCTGTCTTCAGAGTGATGATCATCATGAGCACGCTGTGGTTTCCTGGTAGAGTCGATCCAGCCAGTTCAGGTTTGTCAGCATCGAATGTCTCCAGGTGAACGTCCACACAGTTCAGCTTCCACCTGTGCAGCAGCGCTTCAATCGACCAATCAGCACTGAAACACAGAGAGGAGGCTCTAAAGTAAAATAAACGGCAAACATCTGGATGAACTCACTGTAAAGCAGCCTCAGTGCACCAGAGAAGAAGTATTTCAGATCATTTCCTGCAGTAAAGAAATGCTCTATATTAGTAATAAAAAGTATTTCCCGATGAGAAGCTGTGGAGTGGATGTCGAAAAGGCATGCAAAGGAAAAATATACTCAGCTACGAGAACCTTAAAAGTTCTTAAGTGCAGAATAAATGTATCAATAACATAACATACATTCTGAGTACATTATGTTTTGCAAACAAACATTCAAACAGTGATTTTTATCGTTGAACTAAACCTTCTCTCTTGGTACGTTGTCCAGAACTGAGCTGAGGGGTTTCTTCTCAACAGAAAAGCAACAGTAACGAGGACATCTTCAAAATCTGAAACAATTTTAAAAAAGTAAATTCAGGTTTTTCCAAACAATACATGGGCTCAAAAATATGTTGATTGTAATGTTTCTCAAATGACCGACCCTGTGGCTCATAGAAAACGTCTGAACCCAAGATGACGTCCAGCTTGGGGAGCAGAACCAGATCAGGGGAGACTTCCCCCCAGGTGAGCCCCAACACCTCCACATCCTGGAGGCTGTTGACTTCACAGCTCCGCCTGCAGTTCTCCAGACACAGCGGGGTCTGAGCGTTGTCTGACAGGATCACCTTTGCGCCACACTTTGCAGCTAGAACACCTGGCAGACTCACACCTGCACCCAGCTGTGGAGAGAGAGTGTCAAAGTCAAAGTCAACTTTATTGTCAATTTCAAAATATGCCAGACATACAGTGGAATCGAAATTGCATTTGTCTCCGTCCCATGGTGCAATACAACTAAAATAAGGTAAAATAAGATAAAATAAAATGAGGTAAAATAAGATAAATAATATTTACAGTAATAAATTCTAAATTGTGCAAAAGGTACAAAACAAAATGGTAAATAAAATAAAATGGTAAATAAAATAAAATAAAATAGAATGGTAAATAAAATAAAATAAAATATAATGGTAAATAAAATATAATGGTAAATAAAATAAAATAAAATATAATGGTAAATAAAATAAAATAAAATATAATGGTAAATAAAATAAAATGGTAAATAAAATAAAATGGTAAATAAAATAAAATAAAATATAATGGTAAATAAAATAAAATAAAATATAATGGTAAATAAAATAAAATGGTAAATAAAATAAAATAAAATAAAATGGTAAATAAAATAAAATAAAATATAATGGTAAATAATATAAAATAAAATGGTAAATAAAATAAAATAAAATATAATGGTAAATAAAATGGTAAATAAAATAAAATGGTAAATAAAATGAAATAAAATATAATGGTAAATAATATAAAATAAAATGGTAAATAAAATAAAATAAAATATAATGGTAAATAAAATAAAATGGTAAATAAAATAAAATATAATGGTAAATAAAATAAAATAAAATTTAAAGAAAAAGTAAACTTGTGCAATATGTGCAATGTGCAGTAAGTAATGTGTGTAGTGTGATGATGATGAAGATGAAGGTGGCAGCTGAGATCAGATCCAGAAACCTGACATTAAATGTGCTTCTTCTTCTTCTTCTTCTTCTTCTCACCTCCAGCACAGTCTTGTCTTGCAGCTCTTCTCTTTTTGTCCATAAATACTGAGCCAGCACGACTGCACAGGGCCAAACATACATGCCATATTGTGGATCCAAAACCTGAGAATTGGGGTCACAGTTTAACAGGAAGTAAACTGCAAAATGCTGAAGAGAGCATAACTGTGTGCACCAGATGTGAAGAATTAAGTGGAAGACTCTAAAGTATAATTTAAAGTCTCTGTTCATTATTTTAGCGTTTGTAAATAGTTTAAAAACACTTTGTCATTTTTTAACACCTATTTCAACACAAGGCAACTTATTAGTATCAAATTGTTGAAATCAAAGGAACACAGAACAAAAGCTGTTACATTAGAAATCAGAAAAGGTTCAGAAACGTTGACACACCTCTGGGATTGTGACTGAAACGGACTCCTGATTGTTTTTCGTGCTTTCTTCAAACGTGAAAACTTTGTAAGCAATGCTCGATGATTCGGCTCCATCTTGTTCCATTGTGCTTAAAAACAACAGTTTACAACACCGACTATTAAACGGACACTTTGTCTTCTAGTGGAGACAGTTTCATTTATATTCATATTGATTTTAGATTATTAGCAGGCATGCTTCTGGACTGTTTCCGCATTGACCAAAACAACCACAAGGAACAGCCAGTGAGTTCCATGTAAACGCCAGGCGGGAAGGCTCCTTCTACATCTCATCCAATCAGCGGTCTACGACTATGCGCGCTGTGGCCAATGAGGTTTCTACTTTTTCAACGCGGGGGGCGGGTCGTTCACATGTCAATCAGTTGCCTAACACTGAGGTGCTAGCAGGCTTCTGAGCGGAGTTGTTGTTCATCAAACTGTGTCGACACGGCAGGTGTTTAAAGTGTCCACACATCTGTTGGTGTAGATTTAAAGACTTGTGAACATAAAATACGACTTGTGGCTTTGTTGTCCGACCTAAATAAACAAGGTGAGACTACCAGAGCAGCGGAGCTAGCCCCCCGTTGAGCTAGTGAATGTGTTTGTATGGTCGCTGAGGTTAGCTCCGCAGCTAGCCGAGCAGAGATAACGCACGTTTTTCTCTTTCAAAGTCCTTAGGAGGAGGAATGAACCATAAGAGTAAGAAGAGGATTAAAGAGGCGAAACGGAGCGCCAGACCCGAACTGAAGGATTCATTAGACTGGATAAAACACGGTTATCATGAGACTTTCGACCTGTCGCACCACACCGTAAAGGTAACTGTCAATATAGCATTCAAAGCTAGGCTAGCAGCAGGCTAGCCGGAGGAGTGCAGCTTGTCACGTAGACAGCAGCCGGTGTTACGCAGAGAATTGTATACCTGTAGAAAAATTGCATGCACATCCCGGAAGTGTTTGGAAACGGTACAAATGTTGTTTCTGGGGGCACATCTGTGAAAACAAAGTATCTGAAGCTTGTGTTTAATAAACGTTTAGTGTCCTTATTATTCTGTAGACTCGATAAAAGATTTATATTAGCCTGAGAAAATAGGACCAATAAGTGTTTGACTCTAAAGAAAATGTAAAGGTGGATGTTAAATACGACAGAATAGTATTATAAGGGTGGATGTTAAATATGGCAGTGTAGAAATGTTGTTTCCTTTAATTTTTAGTTGTCCTGCGAGGTGAAGGCAATTTTTGGCAGGGATGCATTTCTCGGCATAACACCTGTATTTGACCTAAATCTTCAACATGTTTGTGTTCGTTTTACATCTATTATCCATGACAAAAACATATAACTAACCACATACTGTACTGTTTACATGTAAGAGGTCATATTGTCAGACAGTAAGGCAGGAGATATGTCGTTGTACCTGAAATATTTGGCATTATTCTTTGCAATAGACACAAAAAAATGCACTCTCATGTTAATGGGAAGTTTATGAGATGCTTCAGTAGTCCTGCAATCCAGACAGAAGGAAGTCTTATGATAGTTAATATGGATTATAAACACAATGGACCAAAAATCCAAAAACCATATCTCAATATGTTTTGAAGAAATAACAAAAACAAAGACAACTGTAAGTGAAATCCACATGGGCCACATGTCAATGTCACAACAGCTTGTTCCTAAATGTCGACATGTACATTTAAAAATGACTTAAAAACCTGCCAGTTTGTGAAATAAAACAATAATCATATTATACCTAATGATCCTTGAGTTTTGCTCAGAGAGGGCGAGAGGCGGAGCAGAGTGAAGAGGGACAAACAGAGAGGGGAAATAGGCTCACTGGCGGCTCCACGGATGAAATGTATACCGGGATTGTTACGGAAAATAAACTATATCCATGTAAACAATATTGTTTTAACCTAAATCTCATTTGAAAATGTATCTCTGTGTCTCATAAACTCAATATACCTCCCAGCTCTACTTCAGATAACATGAAGAGATATATTTGCACAAAACAAAGATGACAGATTTCTAACCCTCTCTACTTCCTGAAAAAAGGGAAATATTTTGTCCTGTATGAACAGTAGAAGCTTACATTAAGAATGCATGTTTCAGTGATGCTATGAGGACACAACTGTTTTTCTAAGACTTAAAAACATCTCCTGGAAGGACAGGTTGTACAACCCACTAACTGTCTACACTTCAAGTCAGATTTCAGGTCTGAGTGCTCTGAGGCATTTTCTGCTGCTAACAGGATGAGGGAGTGCTGCAGGGTTAGAAGATGTGATTTTAGGACTAAGTGAGTCGAGAAGTTATCGCAGCTGATGTGATGTGTGCTGACACAGTCTGTATGGGTGGACCCCTTAAGGTATCAAAAGAGGTGTTAAAGCTGTTCCTCATCACACTGACCTGCATACCTCAGCACAGGAATGTGTTGTTCAAACAGACACACCTGGCCACTGTATTGTGTCCTGACATCAGCCCCACATTAAGCCCCTTGTATTTTGTCTTTCTACATACATAAGTAAGTTGTGAAAAACCCACAAGGTCTTTTAAAAACTTTAAACAGAGCAACTCTGATTCATAATCTGAGTAAGATAGGTGCTAGAAATGTGCTTGGACATCAAAAATACAGTGACACTCCAAGGAGACGTCATTCCAAAAAGGAGAAACCGGAAGAGGACGGAGAAGAGTGCAGATATATAAACCATTTTCACACCGCTGTCGCTCACCCCTCGTAATATAGGTACTTCTAATCGAGAATAATGCCTGATAAACAGTTGGCTCTTGACTGTAGTCGCTTACTTGCTTTGGTCACTTCCGTTTTTCTTCTCCTGCACTGATTCGCTTCGCTGAAAGCCAAATCCGACGGGTAGCGACAGAGTCTGACACACCCCAAAAAACAGAGCAACCATCACTCATCGACGGTCCAACTGGGACTGACTGGACGATCTCCTTGGTGTGTCAGGACATAAACATGTAAATGAAAGCTGTGTGATACTCTGCACCTTTAAGAAAAAGCTAAAGAGCCAGCTCTTTCATGAATACCTACTAACTTAATGATGATGGTCTCCATATTATTGATGATGATGATGGTAATGACGATGGTTTTTGTTTGATAACGACGACTTATAAGATGGTTTCTATACTGATTAGAGCTCTCAAGAACTGCCCTCAATGTTGTGCTTTGCCTCTGGTCACTTCCTGTCAGCACCTGTGTGTCCAATCAGACTCAAAGCTGATCGTTTGCTCTTACTGACATTGTTCCCTTTTTTCTAGGTCCTTGTTTGCGTTGAGTGAATTGTAGAATTGTACTAATATTTGTTGTATTACAGGACAGCGTTGAGCGTGTCAACACCCTCCACATCACTCCTGAAGAGTTCATCCAGCGCTTCGAGCGGCCTTACAAACCCGTTGTTCTGCAGAACTGCCAGGTGACCTGGCCTGCTCGGGAAAAATGGACTCTGGAGCGCCTCAAACGCAAATACCGCAACCAGAAATTCAAGTGCGGGGAGGACAACGACGGATATTCTGTGAAAATGAAAATGAAGTACTACATGGAGTACCTGGAGACCACGAGGGACGACAGCCCGCTCTACATCTTCGACAGCAGCTACGGTGAACACGCCAAGCGCCGGAAGCTGCTGGAGGACTACGAGGTGCCGGTCTTCTTCAGGGACGACCTGTTCCAGTTTGCAGGAGAGAAGCGCAGACCCCCCTACAGGTTTGATCTTTGTTTCACTTTTGAACTATCCAAAGGTTCAAATTAATGTTATGTAAAGATAAATAGAAGACGACAATTCCCACATTGTTCTACTCCTCACACCGTCCTCTCAGGTGGTTTGTCATGGGCCCGGCTCGCTCTGGCACGGGCATCCACATCGACCCGCTAGGCACCAGCGCCTGGAACGCCCTGGTTCATGGACACAAGCGGTGGTGTCTGTTCCCCACAAACACACCCCGCGAACTGATCAAGGTGACCAGAGAGGACGGAGGCAACCAGCAGGATGAGGCTATCACCTGGTTCAACGTGGTTTATCCCCGAACACAGCAGCCCAACTGGCCTCCAGAGTTCACCCCGATGGAGATCCTCCAAAGACCCGGGGAGACTGTTTTTGTGCCTGGTCAGTGACGGAATATCATGATTGTTTAACATCCTTTGAGCAAATTACTCTGTTTTTGGTGCCTGACACACACAGAGACAAAAATAGCAAATAGGTTAATAAAAATTAAAATAAGAAGAGGTCACATAAATCAAATCAAATAGGAGGTAGATCCAACAACAGATATGTTGTTTGAACAGAGGGTTAATGGCTGTTAGATACATTACTGAATATTCAAAGGTCACATATTCTACACTTCACCATGTTTTTCTAACACTAACATGTTTCTCTAGTCTGTCTACAAACCCCCCAATGATGAGAAAAGTCCATCCTCTCCGTCTTTTTCCTGCTCCACTTTTCAGAAAATGTGTGCTCAAACAGGCCGTTTGGAGATTTTCCCTTCATGACATCACAAAGGGCAGTAGCCTCTCCCCCAGGTGGGTGACAGTCCCACAGCTAGGTGTTTGTTCTGCCCTCTGAGTCTGCCTTCTCACCGTAAACAATAGGACATGGAGTGAGGAAAGATCGAGTACACCCAAGTCCTTCCAGAGAGGGGGCGTGGTCAGACACAGCTCATTTACATATTTAAAGGTACAGACAAAGCTATAGAACAATTTAATCCACTCAAATTAAAGAAAAAAACATCACGTTAAAATTGAGTAGCCGTTCCTCAAACATTTGCTGCAAAGCATGCTGGAATATCTCTGGTTAAACCAAATTGGATAACATGAAAGCCAAAGGTAAATGCCTGACCTTAAACACACAGTAATTTATTTGAGCCTGTGCTGATGATTATAATCGCCTCAGGACAGCTGCAGTGTGTTAAGGTCTGCAGGTGATTTTTTTATTTTTTTTAAATTCAAATCTGAACACGTCCGGCTTTAAGAGTCGGAGGATCCCGCACACAGTATTGACGTGCTGCTGTTGGTGGATCAATAATTTTGTGTAAATCGTGGTTAACAGCCAGTCATGTAGAAACCAAACTGTTTTATTTTTCTGTCTCTGAACATCCTCACGCTCAGCAGTGACCACACAGGTGTGCAGACGGTTCAGACAGCTGAGTGTTTCCGGTGTGACCTAAATCCACTTAATGCCCACATAGCTGATGGTGAGGAGGATGGATTAAACCCAGGAATTAGACCTCACCTGTCTGACTCTTTAGAGACAACATGCTCCTGTTAAGCTGGCTACACACTAGATGATTTTGGGGCCAATTTGTCTCCTTCAAAGATCGTGGGGGGGGGGGGGGGTTACTGCTACCTATCTAGTCGGAATCTCCCGGATCTGGAATCATAAATATCAAACA